GGATTTTCTTAGTTTGCACGCTTCTTAAGTTGTGGATCTGATCGCATTATATCATTTTTTTCCAGTTTAATATTCTTCTTATTTTTTACATTTGAAGAAGCTGCTTTCTCCTTCTTCCTCTGATTTGTATCTTCCATGTAATAATTCTATCTACCCTGATAAAGTGGGGATCCACAGGTAACCACAGGTAACTTAGGTGTCAAAAGGCACTTGTTCAGCAGTGAAGAAACGAAATGATACTTTCTTTTTAGCACTCTACGAAAGTGGGGATCCACAGGTAACCACAGGTAACTTAGGTGTCAAAAGGCACTTGTTCAGCAGTGAAGAAACGAAATGATACTTTCTTTTTAGCACTCTACATAGGCAGATGCAACATTGCAATAATTTCCTCCACCTTGTTGTTGGAGCTGGGTGGGGGCCATCACCTAGAACCTGACGACTCGTAAACTTTTTTAAATTGCTCACGAAGTTTCAGTGGTGGAATCTTGATGAATCTAATAATGGAACGCAAAATCTCCATGTGGAAATTTTTCCCCAGGGTACTGATCATGAATATTTAGCTACGCTTGATGCAAAATTGCTTTGGGAATTTGACTCATTAGATAGCAATTTTATTTAATCTTTTTGCTGTGATTCAATAAACAATTTCGCTTTCTTTTGTCTAAAAAAGTATAGTTTTTTAATCACCATTTTTATTATGATGTTCTTTTGTTGCAGGGTGGCCGAAAGTAATTTTGCAAAGTTTATTCTAATATATGGTAATTTTGTTGTCAATAATAAATAATTGTCAATAAATGACTTCATTCTATATGGTAATTTTGTTGTCAATAATAAATAATTGTCAATAAATGACTTCATTCTAATATATGGTAATAAATCAATTATTTTTCCCTTGTTTGAAATAAGATTTGAGGAGCTTGGATGAAAAGGCGCATAAGTGCAACTTTCGAAAAAATTTAAGTATTCATGATATCATTGATGACTAGTGTTGAAATATATTTTGGGAAGAATTCAGTTCTAGTTTTCAATTTTTAACATAAAAAATGCAGTTTGAACTTTCTTTTCGCCACAAGGGCCTATGTAGATAATTTAGAAACTTTGAACGAGTATTTCTTGAAATAGGAAAGGCTGTACTTATGGGCCTTGACCTCCAAGCCCCTCAATGCTGATTGCGTAGCAGGTGATTCACCGAAACAAAGAAACAATGAGCAGAGTAAGTTTGTAGGTATCAATATTTTCTGTTTTGAGAGATGTCTCTCGGGCTCTGGCATTCGTTATCTTGAGAAATATGCACGGTTTACGCTTCATCAAAGAAGATAGTCAGTGGATGTTGACGCTGTACAGCCAAAAATTTTAGTTGCCACATCTAAAATTTTAGCTGTCTGTGTCTCGATTGATAGTTTTCATTAACCTGGCAGCTCATGTCATCGCAAGTTCACATCGAGTGAGTTTTACGCACTTGCAGAGTGTGCCAGAAAATTAATTCTTGTATCCATTTTTCGTGATGTAATAAAACAGCTGATTGCCTGTCGCACTCTCATAGTGAATAAAATTCTCAGGGAAGGACTCGATAATCCAGAGGTCAGGAGGGACTGATGTTTCATATTGAACAGCCGCTCTGTATTATCTCTTGTATGCGGTAAGCAGTGATGGAAAGTTTCAGCTCTAGGTACTGAAAATTTTAGCCAATGAATGGAGAGGTTCTCATCAAATATATTCTGCATTACTTAGCGTCGTACTGTTAAGCCTATCAAACCAATGAAATAGCACAGATACATGCCTTCCGCAGAGACAAAAGACAATGGTAGGCGAAGTACCTAGGCAGGTATCAATACTTTCTGTTTTATGAGAGATGCCTTTCTTGCTATGGTATTTGTTATCTTGAGAAATGGGAGCAGTTTACGCTTCATCGAAGCCGATAGTCAGTGGATGTTGACGCTGTCACAGCCCAAAGTCTTAGTTGCCACGACTAAAATTTTTAGCTGTCTGAGTCTCGATTGATAGTTTTCATTAACCTGCCAGCTCCGATCATCTAAAGTTCCTACCGGGTGAGTTTTACGCACTTTCAGGGTGTGCCAGAGAATTAATTTTTATATCCATTTTCCGTGATGAAATGAAACGGCTAATTCTCTGTCGCACTCTTACAGTGGGTAAATTTGTCAGGCGAGGACTCAGATAATCTAGAGGTCAGGAGTCGCTGATGTTTTATATTGAACAGCTGCTCTGTATTATTTCCTATATGCGGTTTAATGACAGCAAGTTTGCGTCTCCAGGTACTGCAAATTTTAGCCAATGTATAAAGAGGTTATCATCAAGGATATCCTGCATTAGTTAGCATCTCAATTTTATTAAACCAATGAAATAAAGTAGTATAGATACATACCTTCTGCAGAGGTCAATTTAAAAGGTCTTAATTTGAAGAATTTTATCCCAACACAGGCAAATTAGTCGATTCAATCAACTTCTGACACAGAATCAAAGAGACTTGCTAATAATCAAATTAAAGCTAATGCTTGAAGTCAAGTATCTTTGATTTTGTGACATTGAGTTGATTTCATTGAAGTGGTTTCATTTCATTTCAGTGAAGCGTTGCTTCTTTAAGTAGACACATACGCACGACTGACGGGTGAATGTAGGCCAGTTTTCCAAAATAAAGCATTACATGTCTATGGAAACATTGAGGCTTTATGCACCAGTAGCATGATACACTGAGAAAACACACATCAACTCCTGAGGAGGTAGGCTGCCTGGCTGCGAGCAAAATTTTAGTAGAAAGTGGAAACGCAGATT